GAAAATTAGTGGGAGCAAGTTTATATTTTTAGTCCTATATGTTGATGATATTCTACTTGCTGCTAATGATTTAGGCATATTGCGTGAGACTAAAAAAAATTCTCTAAGAATTTTGGAATGAAAGATATGGGTGAGGCATCCTATGTGATAGGAACATAAATATTCCGTGATAGATCACAAGGATTATTGGGATTGTTAGAATCAGTTGAATCTCATTTGTTAAGATGAAGGTGTAGTTATCTGAATGGTTTCAAGAGAATTGTGTTAGTTTGTCAAGCCCTCATATGTACCTGTTCTTTGTTTGAACATAATTGGTTGTGTTGTGCCTATTTGTGTATCCTCATAATGAGTATACTTGTATTGTCATCAGCTAAACACTTGTTGACTTGAGTTATTTGTATTATTTAATGAGTCTTAATTGTTGAAAATCATTTGAATCATATTTTGCAATATTGAGTATTTATAAAAACCGATACACTTGAGTAGTTGTCCTAAGTGAAGAATTAATATCCTTTGCCAATTTCGTGTTTGATGTTTTTCCAAAAATATAATGAAATCTAATTTTCTCAATTTGTCTTGATCGTATTTCTACTTTTATCAAAAAATATTCAGCATTCCTGTTTTTAACATATGCTTCTATATAATTTATTAGACAACTAGGCGGTTTTTAACATATGCTTCTACTCAATGGTGCAATTTTTGATACGCCATGTTAAAAATGAAGTTGTTGTTCGTGTTGATCGCTTTAGTATTTTGACACAGAGAGCTATCTTATGTCTTAGGCAATTGGGAGTGGTTGGGAAGTGGATTGCAGATTTTGCAGGTTGGGCTATCGAATTTAAGAAATGATGGGCTGCATGGCGTCGTCTTTAGTGGTATTGTTTTGCTTAGTCAAACCTTTCTCTCTTTGTTTAATTCCTAGCATATTGAGTAGACTGTTTCTTTGCTTTCTTCTTTAATCCCCGGAAAAGGATGAATGTCAGATGCATTCATTTAGTAATATTATTTTATATTATCAAGGGTTAATTCATCTTGATAAGATATTAGTCATGTGTTTATAATATATTATCTTGGATCTTGTTGTAAAAAATTTTATTTGCTAATATAAAGATTTGATTAGTTTAATTTAAAGTTCTAAATACCTCTAATATTAAAAAGTAGATATTCTTTATTTTTTCTTTCTTGCACATATTTTATATTTTTTTCTATAAATTTTAATATTGTCTAAGTAAAAAATTATTATTTATTCTACCATTATTACTTTTTGGGGCCTCAAAATTTTGGGGCCCTAAAGCAAAAGCTTTACTAGGCTTACCCTTGCACAACCGATGTTTGTAATTATTGCTTCTAATTTTATGGCTTCTTTAAAAGAGATTTTCATTTCAGTTTTACACGCCGGAGATATGAAATTATAAGATCTAAAGTCATTTGCTTCATTTCAAATTATAGATGATTTTCCCACTTTTAAATGTTTGATTTGCCTCATCAAATTTATGGATTTTCTTATTAATCTTTGCATTTTATTTTATGCAAAGGTTATCTTTGATGAAAGTTCTAATTTTTATTTATTTTGATGATGATCGCTTTGCCTATTGTACTTACGGTCTGTTTGGAAAGCCATTGGATAATAAGAATTGGTGTAATTACTAGGATAGTAATTACACAGCCTAGTAATTACACACTTGTATAATTACGACGACCTGTTTGTTTGTTATAGTGTAATTACGTTATTTACTGTTTGGCTGCATAAGTGTAATTACACAGTTAAATTAAATTTCAAATGAAGTAAGTATCAAAATTTAAAAGTTAAGATAATAAATATATGCCTATAAAGTTGTATAAGTATAAATAATATTATATTTAGTATTTAAGATATAATTATTTTCGTGAATATACAATAATTAGTAATCATATATTTATAACTTACATTATAAAAATAATTTATATATATTTTCCAAATTAATAATATAGTTTAGATACTTACAAAAACTAAAAACATACATTTGTAAGAACATCATGGAATTCATGTTTGATAAAATAAATTAATATTTATAATATAATATCATAACATTATTCAAATGTTTGACAAAATTAATCTATTAATTCTAACTAAAAAATGAACAACATGCAATATGAGCCAATACTAATAAAACAAGTAAATTGGAGCCATGAAATAACACAATTTCAAAATCCAAAAAAAAAAAAAGGTTAACATATGTCAATTTCTAACATATTAATAGTAAGTTCCGCTACAATTTAAGATTAAGAAATACAATAAGTTTATAACCACATTCAACAATGAAATTTTACTTTAATTTCATCATTCCTTATATGAAAAATTTGTTAATGACTCATTATTTCTAATATTATGAGGTGTAGTTTCAAAAAATAGAATAATAAAATAAATAAAAAATAAAATATAAGCAATTATACGAAATCACAAAGAGGTAAAGGTAGAGAAATAAAAGATAAATAATGTATAAAGAAAAATATATTTTAAAAGAGATTAAAAAGTAAAAATAAAATATAAAAAGTAAATAATAGAAATAAAAAGTTATAAAGAAAATAAATTAAAATAAAAACAAAAAGGCAAGAAACTAAAAACAACCTTGTAATTACACAATGTAATTACCACCAATTCTCACCCCCCACCCCCCCTTGAGAATTGAAGAGTGTAATTACACCTCTCCAATTACACTCAATTTCATGTTGACCAAGTAATTACTTGGCCAAACAAACATGCCAAACTGTGTAATTACACTTAAATCCAATTTCTAGGTGGCTTTCGAAACAAGCTCTTATTAATCTTGGTCAATTACTATTGTTTTGTAGATTTATAGAAGAAAAAGAAAAGAAATGTGTGTAGTCAAGGTTATATTAGCCTCATCGAAGATTATCCAATGGAGGAATTCAAAAATAGCCAGATTTACAAGTGGTCATTCAAAAAATAGTCACAGTTTCAAAAGTAATCGAAATTTAGCCACTTTTCATGTAAAAATAAATCTGAACGAATACACTGTTCAAAATTCGAAAAAATACTCCAGCATAATATACTGGAGACTGAAGCACTGATGCTCCAATCTCCAGTATATTATATTAGAGACAACAAAGTATATCGGTCCATCATAATATGCTGGAAGTTCATACACAGGTGTACCAAACTCCAGTATATTATGCTGGATCGATCTCTGCTGCAGCAAAATAGTGGTTATTTTTCAATAACTTAATAAATACTGACTATTTTTGAATGACCAATCCGAAAACTGGCTAGTCCGTGCTATTTTAACATTATCTAATCATCTAAGAACATTCAGCCCAGTTGAATACGGTTTAATCGCTAGGCTAATTTCAATTGAGCTGACTTATTACCTTAGGCCCATCGCAGTCCAGTTGGGAAGGGTCTACTTAGTAGTTTCCTTTTTAAAAGGAATAATAATAATAATTATTATTATTATTATTATAATAATAATAATAATGAACTAGACTAATAGAAGGCGTAAGGATGCTAGACCGTTGCTCAATAGGGAAAATCCACATTCATAAGTCTCTGGTTCTCTGCCAATAAAGCAGTAACAAGGATCATTAACATTAATAAGATAATAAAGTAATTGAAGCAAAAAAAAATAACTGATAGTACTAGAAATTTAATAGCCTGTTTGGTCAAGCTGTAAAAATAACATATTTTAAGAAGTATTTTTTTCTCAAAAGTACTTTTGTTGAAAAACAGTTTGTGTTTGGCTAATTTTCTTGAAAAGTACTTTTGAGCAACAATTAGTGTTTGACCAATTTTTTAAAAAACTGTTTCTAAGTGTATTTTTCTAAAAAATACTTTTCAAAAAAGTGATTTTGGAGAGAAGCTACGTTGTTCTGTTTCTCCAAAATTGCTTCTGCTTCTACTCAAAAACACTTTTTTCTTCTAAAAACTTGGCCAAACATTTCAACTTTGAAAAAAAATAAATAATAACAACAATAACAACAGCACAATGAAATCCCATAAGTGGGCCTAGGGAGGTTTGAAATTTTCAGGACCCTCCTGAATAATGGGACTTAGCTTTAAGACCTTCATTAGATAACAAGATTTAGCGTAAGTTCTGCCGTAGAGAAATATAATTTAGCCTTAAAGTTGTCGCTCTTAAGATGAGATTTGATTTTAATTTTCAGGACCCTCCTAGATAATGGGATCTAGCTTTTAAATTCTTAGAGATATCGGGTAACATGATCCAATTAACACTCACAGGTGTACCCATACGCAGACCTTACCCCTACTCCGGAGAAATAAATAGACTCTTTTTGAAAAAAAGTACTCCCTCCAGTTTCAAATTAGATCATGTACTTTATTTTTTAGTCTGTTCCAAATTAAATGACATATTTCTAAATTTGGAAATAATTCAATTTTAAACTCTTCATTTTACCCTTCATAAGAAGCTTTTGTAATCACACAAATGTCATGGTCCCACAAAATTTTTACCCCTTAAGCTTTTAAGACTAGAAGTTTTAATTTTTTTTTTTCTTAAACTCTGTACCGAGTCAAACTAGCACATCTAAATTAAAACAGAGGGAATATTTTTTTAATTAAAAAATATTATTGGCTTCAAGAAGTTTGGCCAACACAAGTTATAAGTATAAAAAAGTACTAGGAATATAAAAAGAAAATATACTTAATTACCTACTAGCCTTATATCTTATTCTCGACCTTCACACCCTCTCAAAGCAGGTATTTACCTTAGGATCCCATAAAAGAAAATTGAGCTATAAAATGGGATATTACTGTACAAACCATAACTCTTATGACAGACAAAAGTCAGCAGAACCCAACAAGATTCAATGATACAAAGACAAAGGAGGTCCAAGTCATCTATCCTTGTGACACCTTGTAATAAGATTTATAACCGTTGGATTTTTAGTCCTATACCTGAATCTTAAGCCTCTCTTCTCCTTCAGAAAAGAATATTCTTTTTCCTGCTTTATTTTTATTTTATTTTTTTGTGGATAAGCTCTCTATTCACAATACTTATTATTTTACTGTGCTTTTGAAGCTGACACTCTCCTCTCTCTCTCTCCATCTCTTTGCGGGGACATCTTAAAATTCTCTCTCTCTCTCTCTGCAAGTTTCAATGGCTACTGAATTTGTCAACAAGGCTCAAACACAGCTTGAATACCCTGAGGTAAACTAAACTAGCAACTTTCCATAATTCCACTTTGACCCCTTAATTTCTTTCATTTTCAACCTTCATTTTCTTGATTTTTTGTTACCAAATCATCCTCTACTGTTCTATCTTTTCTCAAAATTTTGACCCTTTTTCACATATTTCAGAAAGATTTAAACTTTGGAGAATTTGAAGGGAAAAAAAACATTTTTGTGTTTTAATATATACACTCTTTGTAATGTTATGTCTGAGTAGTTCAGTTGTTTTCTGTGGTTTTTAAGCAAATTTTGATCTTTTTATATCTTATTTCACATGTTTTCTTTCTTTAGTTTTAGAATAAACATGCATTTGTTGGAGAAACTTTAGTTTTTTTCTTGGTTTTAGAAGAAAGATTTAATCTTTAACAACTTGGGAAAAGAAAAAAGTAAGAAGCAATTTTTTTTCTTTAAACAAAATTGTAACTTTGGTGCAGTAAATAATTCACTTAATTTCTACATTTTTTTTTCTTAAATCTTTTGCTTTTCAAATTGTAGGTACCACTTTAGTCTAGCTCTTAAGTTTTGCTTTTTACTGCTTTAATGGCTCCCACATGAGCACATGATCATCAAGAATGCTTTTGCTTTTTTTTTTTAAGCTATGCGTGAGGTCCGAGCCTTACCTTCCATTTCTACAAAAGGCCGTAACCTCCTGCTCACATGCATCAACTTTTATGCCCAGGCTTACCTTCAATTATCTGGAGTAGTATTTATTTTAAAAAATTAGAACTTATTTTTGGGTTTTGTTTTTTTTATTATCAGATGATTTATGAAGCACTTGATGCACTACAACAAAAAGAAGGCTCAAACAAGTCATCAATATCAAATTACATTGAGTCCAAGTATGGAATCTTGAATGATACTCACTCAAAGTTGCTAACTTACCATTTGGATAGAATGAAACAAACTGGTGAACTTATTTTTCTCAAAAACAATTACATTAAGCCTGGTCCAAATGTACCTCCTAAACGTGGCCGTGGAAGACCACCAAAGCCTAAAACTACATTGCCACAAGATACAGAAATTGCAGCTCCAAAACCAAGAGGTAGACCAAAGAAAGATCCTAATGCACCACCTACTCCCAAGAAATTAAAACCAGCAGTTGCTCCTATTAACTTAGCTAATCCTGTTTCTAAAACTGGAAGGCCTAGAGGTAGGCCTAGGAAAGTTAAGCTACAATCAGCACAAAATGGTGTTGAGTAAAGTACAGCCTGGCGCACTATAGCGGGAAGCTCCCGCTATGTGCGGGGTCCGAGGAAGGGCCGGATCACAAAATGGTGTTGAGTGAAGCTGAAAATATGTGGACTTTGTTGATGGTGATGACTCTTATTACTGTGTTATGTCTTAAGTTTTTCTTGGTTGATGTTGTATTTGGAATGAGTTGTGTGTAGTTCCTGTAGCTGTGCAATGTAGAATTTTAGATGAGGGTGTACTTGTTTAATGCTTGTTGTTTCAAGATTCATAGCAGATAGGATGGTTAAGCTATAGCCAGCACAGAATGGTGTTAGAATGAAGCTGAAAATTTGTGGGCTTTGTTGATGGTGATGACTCTATCTTATGACTGTTTTAAGTCTGAAGTTTTTCTTGGTTAACTAGTGTTTTAATTGCAGTGAGTTGTGTATTGTTCTTGTAGCCTATTTGCTAAGACTGAAAATGTTGTCTGTGCATGTCAGATCCTCTAAAAGTAGTGTATTTTTGGGGATCCAATACAGGTGCGACAATATTTTGGAGAGTCCGTACAATATAACTTGTAGCTATGCAATGCAATGTAGACTGTTAGAAGATTGTGTACTTGCTATTTCAAGATTCATGTAGTAGATAGGAAGGTTAAGCCACAGCCAGCACAAAATGGAATCTTAGCTCATTGGACTTTGTTGTGTTGTCTTTATTCTTCTTATTTAGGTAGTGGGTGATTTGTAGTTCTTGTATCTGTGCAATATGTAGATTGTTAGAAGAGGATGAACTTGTTTAATGCTTCTTGAGCCGAGAGTCTACAAGAAACAGTCTCTCTACCCTGACAAGGTAGGGGTAACGTCTGCATACACTCTATCCTCCCCAGACCCCACTTGTAAAATTATACTGGATTTCAGTCTCGTGTATATATGTTATTCGGAGTGCATTTTCTCTTCAACTGATTTTCTGCCATTCAAATGTCTTACTACAATTGTTAAAGTGTCCTGCATTGCTTAAGGGATGAACTGCTGTTGTCCGGATAAGTTTTTCCTTTTTATAACATGGCAGTAGAACTAGACTCATTCTTATTCTTAGTTTACCTAATATTAGCCGCTCTACCACAGATAGGGATAAGATCTGCGTATACATTACCCTTTCCAAACCCTACTTGTATAATTATATTGTGTGGTTGTTGTTGTTGGTTTACCTAATATTAGGTTGAGGGAATAGTATGTTGTCATGAAAAAATGTACAAGTGAACCTTATTTTGAGGAAAAAATTAAATTGCAGTGTTTGATGGTGACTGGTAAAGTGAGCATGTGATGGAGGTGAAGGTGAAAGAAAGGAGATAAGGGGATGATATATAAATGGAGACAGTTGGAAAGTGAATTTGTGACATGTTTTGTGAACCAAAAACATCATATGTACTACAAAACTAGATAGTCTCTGTCCAACACATTATCTCTTTATCTTCCAACTTTCCTACTATGAATTAGTAATGTCTTTGTCCAAGATGCTTGAGGTCCCACTTGGTTTTGGAATCTTGATTTTTTAACAGTTGGTCCAAAAATAATACTACTACTAACTTTTTTTTTTTGGTTTTTCACCCGGTAGCTGATACTCAAAATCCAATTATATTCGGATTCGCATCGCGTATGGCCCCACTTGGGGGGAAACGTTTCCTACTAAGGATTTTTCCATACCTAGGACTCGATCCGAGACCTTTAGTCAAGGGAAGAGCAGCTTCACGTGCTGCACCACATCCTTCTGTGGTAAAATAATACTAACTCCTCTAGAAGCACCAGGAGTACTGTATTAAGCTAGAATTGCATAACTAGCAAAGGCTGTATTAAGGGTACATTTGTACGTTAAGATATGGGGTTGGACCTGTTATGAATAATTTAGCCTAGCCCAATATGGATACTGACAAGGATGTCACACAAATTAATATTGGGCCGAGAAGAAGCAATTGGGCCAGGCCTTCACAAAGGTTACTCTGGTATCCAGGCTGAGGGCACTTTGTATTCGTTAAATAGTATATGGTAACACTATCCGTAGGCGATCGTGAATTATGTGCAAAGGCATTTCTGGTATCTTCCCATCCCCAATTCAGTATCAGTCTTTCTCATCCCCTTTCTTCTTAGTTCTGTTGCAATCTTCCCTGCTTTAGTTAGTGTTTGCTTTGTAGTTCCAGTTTAATGTTCAATATAATCGATCAGTTCTATTGAAATAGAGTCGGCTACCCTTAGTTTGTTACAGGACCACTCATTTTATTTGAATTTTTTTTTCCTAACAGAAACTGGTGTAGATTTAATGATCCTATCATGATGTTTGGTCAGTATCAGTCTCCTTTTAAGTANATATACATATATATACATATATACATATATATATATATATATATATATATATATATATATAAATTAAGAAGATTCAACACATAATATATAAGTATATTATGTGTTCTCGCTCTTTTTTTTTTTTAAAGAAAAAAAGAAGCTCCACATACAAGTTCTCGCTAAGTTCTCTCTTCTTTTTTTTCACACTTCCCTTGAAATCGAATAATCAGAGTTTGTTAAATAATTGGCGGAGTTTAATATGCTCTCTTTTGGCAAACTTAAAAGATCAATAACGCTCATGAGTATATCTAAAGGACAATTGGGACCATTTTTATTTCTCTGTAGAATGCCATGCAGAAGAAACAGCCTCCTGTAGAAATGCAGGGTAAGGCAACATACAATAGATCCTTGTGATTCGACCCTTCTCCAAATTGAACCCCGTACATAGCGGGAGCTTAGTGCATTGGGCTGCCCTTTTTGTAGAATACCATAGAGCCATGGAAAAAAGATGGGTGAACTGAATCATACGGGTAATGTTCAAAAAAATATATATGCAATTTACTACTCTCATGCTTAAGTATTGTATGTATTATTTGTGAGAGTGGGGTCAGTTTGAAGAAAAAATATCAGAATATAAAGTGTTCCTTCCAATTTCTTCTGTTTTTTTCCTAAAGTTGTACAATGTATACTATTAAAAAGAAACCTTTGAAGGTAGAATCAGACTCACAATATACTTAGAACATGGTTCTCGACAACAATTTGGAAGAACGAGTATACAACAACAATAGCTACCACTACTCTATTTCAAGTCAGTTGGGATCGGTTATGAATCATCACTGACCATGTCGCTCCGTGTAGGCTCATGCGTGCCTAGGTGAACAAAGCCTATATTCATTATTTATTGAGTAGTCTTACAACAGTCATCAGTCTACTTCACCCTCCTCCTTTATCGAAGTTTCCTTTTAGTATAGTTGTAGAATCTTGTCATGGTTATTGTGGTAAAAGTAAAGGACCACAAAGCCATTCCATCTTTTTCACCCTTACTACTTAGTTCTCAATCTTTTCTTGGATAAATCAATCCCAATGGTCACATAAGGTCAATTTTGGTATAAAAAAAAAGAATATAAAATGTATTTAACCAAGTCTCTCTTATTTTATCCTGCCTGATATGAAAAAAGGACAACATTTGGCTGAAGTTGAAAAAAATGAGTAATTGAAACTGAAATCGAAAAAGAGTTTTTGAAAGTTGAAATCGCGTTTGAATATACTTGGAAAAAAGTCAACCACTACGAGCAAAAACCATTTAAATAATAGGAAAAAAATAGCCTAATTTACAATTGGTAACGGAAAAATAGCCACAATTTCAAAAAAAATCTACATTTAGCCACTTTTTTGTGTAAAGATAAAATCTAAGCAAAAACACCATTAAAATTCCGGAAAAATTCTAGCATAATATGTTAGAGTTTGAATTTTTTTACACAAAATTTCAGCATAACGTGCTGAAGTTCCAACATAATATGCTACAAAATTTATACGCAGAAGCTCCATAATCCAGTATATTATGCTAGAACTTTCTGTGTTTCAGCTAAAATAGTAGCTATTTTTTAATGACTCTACAAATGCTAGCTATTTTTCAACTATCAATCCGAAAACTGGCTAGCCCATACTATTTTCGCTCAAATAATGCATATGCACTGTCTTCGAGAGTAGGACCATCTGTAAATATAGGAAATACAAACTGCTGAATTGTTTCAGGATAGTGTACTTCCAAAGGATAACTAGAGCACAATTTACAGAACTACAGCAGACACATAAAGCTTGATACAAAAGCCAGATGAAACTGGTGATGAAAAGCTAATAGAAAGGATGAAAACTAGACATTTTCTTAATTTGGATAGGCACCCTAAGCAATAAATAAGCATAGAAGTCATGTTCTGATGATACATACATTAGTATTTTACATCAACCTCTACTCACAACGCGATTTGCACGAGATGAAATAGAGAGATTCAGAAGTTCTACAGCTCCTCATATTGAACCGAAAACCCACAACGACAACGTTTTGTCCTTGTTGAACTTTCTTCATCAACAGTCTGATCTTCTACTACGAATACGTGCGCATGGTCTTCTGCAAGCACAGTTGGTGGACTATCAGATTGCGCAATCTCAGATTTTTCTTGCTGGTATTCAGGAGTCTTTTTTGTATCCTCAGCGTCACGAGCTAGTAGGGAGGATTTATCATTGGATGTTGCAAAATTGACAGCTGATTGTGAGGATGCCCCGTCCACGTAGCAATTGTGTAGCCTCTGTCGGGTAATAAGTGATGCAAGAAGTTGATACCACCTAGAAAGAGCTTCAGCTTCGGACCTCTTCCTCTCTTTGGCCTGTCGTCTCTCCTCTTCTTCTGCATATGTCTGATAACATCTCAACAAATTCAACATTAGTTCTGCCGGATGGCTTCAAATACAGTAATAATTGGAATTGTTTGATAGCGTTAGAAAGAAAACGTTCAAGCACTTCAGAGACAAGTGTGTGTGTGTGCGCGCGCGCCAAAACTTCAGAGAAGTCTATTTGGTAAATTTATGTCAAATAGGCCTTATTGAAAACTTAGTTGGCATGGACATGGAGACCCGCATAAACAAAGATAAGAAAATATTGAACATGCATGGGGAGGAAAGAATACGAATTAGAGACGCAATAAATATTTTTATAAAATCGAATTTTCCCAAAGTACAGTTCCGTACTAAAAAAGAAAGGTAGTCCAACCATAAGCTCTACTGACTGTTGCACACTAGGGACAAAAGAGCGATCCTATCATACATTTGTTTTATTCTCTATCTTTCGCCACCAACCAAGAACTTGAAAAGAAAAGGAGAAGACATTAGAAATATGTTGGTGTCCTATACGTCTAGTAAAGTGAGACACGAGGAACTTTGACCTCCATGTACACCAAAACACGAATAAAGAATGTGCTGGAACACCTTTTTTTTTAGGCAGCCCGGTGCACAAAGCATCCCGCATTTTCCCAAAGCATCCGCATTCACGCATGTTGCGAGGAAGGGCCACACCCTAAGGGGTGTGATATAGTCAGCCTACCTTAATGCAAGCATTAGTAGATGCTTCCA